AAAAAATGCACCCAAGGGACAGAGACCATCCACTCTTAAAAAACAAAACAAAAACACCCAGAACATGAGACCATGAACCTATCTCTGTGGACTGTCATGTCACCTGCTTTCCTCAAGAATCCTCGTGGGAAGGAACGCGCCAGGCCCCGAGGGGAAGCGTCAGTCACAAACGCTGCCCACCTCCCCACTGCTGTCAACCCCGCTTTCCCAAACTGGGCTCCGTGGAACACCGGTTCCAGGCAAAGGGCAGAGAAATACAAAAGGGTATAAACCAGACCCCAAAGCACAATACACAAGACATTAGCATTTTAAAGGCTAGAAAGGTTCCCAGCAAAAACCAAAACATTTTTCAGTACTGACTTCATTCAGATTTCGTGAGTTTTCACCAAGTGTCCTTTTTCTGCCCCAGGATCCTATCCAAGACCCCACCTTCCATGTAGCTGCCAGGTCTGCTCAGGCTCCTCCGGGCTATGACAGTTTCCCAGGCTTTCCCCGGCTTTCACTGACCTTGACAGTCCCGAGGACCATCAGGATTGGTCTGATGATTTTCTTACGAACACACCAGGGTGATGGATTTGGGGAGCACGCCCACAGAGGGGACGTGCCCTTCTCATCACAAGGGGATCGCCGTGAAGGTTCACAGGTGACCTTTTCCCTGCCCGGCCCACCTGCTCCTCCTTGGAAGCCGTCTTGCGGTGCGGCCCACACTCAAGGGGGGAGGTTTACACTGAGCGCCCGGACAGGGAGCGTGTTCGGAAATCCCTCAGCCTGGGAGACTTTTCTCCCTATTTACGAATTTAGCCAATCATTCACTTGTATCAGAGTGGACTCACATTTATTTTATACTTGAGTTATAATAAATACATGATTTGTGTGGGGGGGGTCCTGGCTGGCTCGGCCAGTAGGGCGTGAGACTCTTGATCTCGGGGTTGTGTGTTCAAGCCCCGCGCTGGGTGTAGAGAGTAGTTTAAAAAATAAAATATTAATAAACATATACTACATTATTTTGTTCCACTTTCGGCTGGAACTTGTTCAGCCGGCTCCTATGCTCCGTGACATGTCCAAACCAACTTAATTTTGATCTCCAAAGGAATACATCCTGTGAGTTTCTTAGTAATCTCTCGAGGCCAAGTTCAGATAAAAGTCCCCCAAAAGTGAAATTATAACAAGGAGAGGAATCTGACCCCTATATTCTCCTCACTTTCCCTGCCAGACGTATGGGCCAGGGTCAGGGCCAGGGCCAACCCCACATTTTCTAGAGCAGGTGGTTGGCACAGGTTAAAGGTTTCTTTTCTTTTTTTATTTTATTATTTCTTTTATTTATTTATTTGACAGAGAGAGAGAGGGGGGGGGAGTGCATGAGCAGGGGAAGGGGCAGAGGGAGAGGGAGAAGCAGGCTCCCCGTGAGCAGGGAGCCCGATGTGGGACTCGATCCCGGGACTCCAGGATCATGACCTGAGCCGAAGGCAGATGCTTAACCAGCTGAGCCACCCAGGCGCCCCTTAAATACTTTTATTTTTAAAAAGGATTTATTTATTTACTTGGCAGGGAGCGAGAGGGAGAGAAGCAGACTCCCCACAGAGCACGGGATCCCGTGACCCTGAGATCATGACCTGAGCCAAAATCAAGAGTCAGACATTTAACTGAGCCACTCAGGTGCCCCTCTTATATACTTTTTAATAAAAAGGTATTTTATGCATGTGGTTAAAAAACAACAATTAGGGGCACCTGGGTAGCTCAGTCGTTAAGAGTCTGCCTTCAGCTCAGGTCATGATCCCAGGGTCCTGGGATCGAGCCCCGCATCGGGCTCCCTGCTCCGTGGGAAGCCTGCTTCTCCCTCTCCCACTCCCCCTGCTTGTGTTCCCTCTCTCGCTGTGTCTGTCAAATAAATAAATAAATAAATAAATAAAATAAAAAACTATTAAACAAAATACAATAAACACGAGGTTCCCCAGACCCCACCCATGGGCCACCCTGTGGGGCCCCAGGACCTGCTGGGCGGATCCACACACAGACTTCTTCCTACTCCCTGTCCACAAACATTTACACCTGGAGAGGCAGGGATCTATCTCGTGAACTATTTGCACCCAAGATGTAAGGCATAGAACCTCCCCCCCTCCCCGCCGGCTCAGGCTGTACCTGCTTGCCCCCCTCCCCAGCTCCAGGACAGAAGCTCAGGATTCCAGGGGAGGGTGCTGGGCTTGGTCCGAAAAGGCCTTCTTGCCACGAAGCTGGGAGAATGTTAGCCCATCCCCTCACGCTGCATGTTTGAAATTTTCCTAATGAAGAGCTTAGAAGTCACCACCTCTGCCCTGAGAGCCACCAGATCTCTTCTTCAAGCGGGTCCAGTCTGTTAAGCTCTAACCGTGAGTGCACAGCCCACCCAGCATCTGCCCAGCTACACACTCACACCACATGCACACACACGCACGAGCCCTGTACCCACATCACCTGGCCCCAAGACCACCGCCCCCCACCCCCAGCCTCTGGTGACTCTGGTTTCCAGCTCCCAGCTCCACACCTCTGCGTCCTGCTGCCTGACCTCCCCTGGGGTCTCTAACAGGTTCTTCCAACTTGACTTGTCCAAGGTCAGACGGCTGATCTTCCCCAGACCTGCCCACTACAGCCCTCCAGGGCCGGCGCAGGGCCATCCCACGAATCTTGTTGCTCAAGCTAAAAAAAATCTTCACCTCACCCCAACTCCCCTTCTTCCAAACTCCACATCCAGTTGATCAGCCACTGTTGACTCTACCTTCCAGGGGAGCCCAGAATCCCACCGCTTCTCCCCACTTCCGCTACCCAGAGCAATGCGGTTAGAGCTTAGCTGGAACCGTACTGTACCCCATCAGCACCCTGCCTCCCTGTCCCCGTCCCTCCTCTGCCCACCACGGCCGGTCTGTTACTCACATCAAACCTGTCTTTACACTAAGGCCACCCTCCCACCTCCTACTGCCGTTTCTCACACAGGTGCACAGTACCCCGCCCGCTGCATTTTTCTCCCTGGTCCTCAGCATGCTCCAGTGATCTCTGGGTCCTAACTGCTCTATCTCTGGGATCCGCAGCCCCTTTCAAGGGACTCACTCCATCGCCTGGGCTTTTGGCTTCTCTGTCCACAGCTGTGTCCCCAAAGCCTGGCCCAGCACTGAGCACGAAGTCGATGCTCAATAGCTTTTTCCAGGATGCACGTGTGCATTCCACGGACCCCCTCACCCACTACATCCCAAGCCAATGCATCCCCCACCCTGAGATGTGCCCCTGTGTTTGCAGCTTCCACCTCATCTCCACTGCGCACTAAGACCTTCCTCCCTATCCCAAGCCAGAAACCAGATTCCAGGGGCCAACTGCCAGACGGGCGAAGAGCCAATGTGGTAATTTGACATTTGTTACAAGTTGAACATCTGACCAATTTCCCTAACAAAGCTTTAACATTTTCCCTTTGTAAATAGATTGTTTGGGTGCTTTAAGAAAACACTGGATAAGGGCGCCTGGGTGGCTCAGATGGTTAAGCGTCTGCCTTTGGCTCAGGTCATGATCCCAGGGTCCTGGAATTGAGCCCCGCATCGGGCTCCTTGCTCAGCGGGAAGCCTGCTTCTCCCTCTCCCTCTGCCTCTCCCCCTGCTTGTGCTCCCTCTGTCTCTCTCACAAGTGAATAAATAAAATCTTTAAAAAAAAACAAAACAAAACACTGGATAAGAAATAGCAACACTTTTTTTTTTCTTTTTCAGATCATAAAGTGAAATGCCCGCCAACAGGGGAGGAAGAGGAAAAAGATGATGGGCCAATTCCTTCCCCAAACGGTCCAGAGCCCCAGAGACCGGGGTGACTTCCTCTCTTCTCCAGGCCCAAGACTCCTTACCCTTAGTTTCCAGCTGCCTGGGACCTGCCCCAGCCCTCTGTCATTCTAGCCCTGGAACCATGCCCAGGAAGAGTGGCCCTGGGGGGGGGGCGGGGGGACAAGCCAGCTCCCCAGCTGAATGGAGGTGCATCTGAAGGTTCCTACCTGGAATCCGGGAGCATCCAGGAGTGGGGGGCTGCCAATGGAAAGTGAAGGTGAAGTCCAGAAAGCCAGCTTCCAAGAGGGGAGCCTTGGCGAGAGACGCTGTTCTGCAGGAAGGAGGAACAGAGCACAAGCAAAAAGATCTTTTGACAAAGAGGATCTTAGCAAGTCTACTCT